TGTTGCACCGAAAATATATTACAAAACTGAGTTACGAATCAATTTATCCTGTGTGCTCATTATTCTGAACGTTGAAATGGCGTTTAACACGCAAATCGAATTCCGTTATCCAGCGACGCGTTAGAAGCATGCACTTTGTCATCCTGGAATCCGATGGAGGCGGGGACAGCGCAAATATCTGGAGACTATTAGGGAACCACCGATATTGGAATTTAGCCATCTCGCTATTAAATTAATGATGGTCCATAAGTGTCCTCGTGGGGGACCATCGCGAAGATCTTCGGACGCTGGTCTCATCGGAGACCGCTTGGATTACCGACGAAGTTGGCTGGTTTACTAAGGAAATTATCGAAACTCGCTTTCAGTATAATTGCAAGAACTTCCTAATTCCGGACTAATTCGCGATACAGAGTGCCATCAGGACCAGTCTAATTAAATAGCTAACAGATAATTGCAAAATTGGGGTGAATCAACGTTCTGGTACGAGGAATAACATACTATGGATTTCAAGGAATCGTTCGAAATGAATGTATGCAGTACGCCTCATAATTATTTAAACGGCAAGAATTTTTCATTTTACTTCTTGATCCATGATAACGTTCATTTTATAGTAGTTTGAATTCCAGAAATCGTTTTTATTTGTTCAATACATAATTATGATTGATACATTCACTTACTCCCACCGAATATTGTGCAAGGATTATTTGGGCCAAAAGGAAAACGTCCTGAAAAGAAACCACCAGAATCATTTTGTCTAACAAAATCATTTTTCGTTTATCCAGAATTGAATTGGTTATTAAATAAATTTTTTAGTTCATTTACCAAATATCCAACTCTGCGAGCTTTTATGAGAGTAATACACAAATTTGTAATATATTTAAGAAATGTTTGGTAATTATTTCAAGAAAGATGCGTTTCATCGATTTTAGAGACTAACAGTGACAACTTACGTTTATTATTGCATTATTGTATAATTGCGTCTTCATTGTTACAAACCATTGATATCGTGTCCGTATTTCACATACGGAAAATAATATTCATTTTTCGCATGTTGCTTTTTGAAGCCGTAACGCGTAGCATGATATTCAGAGAATTTATAGATTTTCTGTGATGATATCGTGTTCGTAATTTTGATGAAAAGATACGTTGCATATAGTGGAATATTATAACCATGAAACAAGTCTTGGTTTTTGCATGAACCAATAAGAAATCGGCACTCTTTCGTCAGTAAATCCACAGAATTCTAATTCTAATAACATCATTTACTTAATGCGAGTTGGTTGTGTAGTACTCTTTCCATCTTTGTATTTACCATTTCCACTGTTCTGTTTACATTGTCCGGCGTAATGTAAAAGTATCGTCGTGCAAACACGAGTCACTGGGGAAAATGTCTTCCGGCAAGTAGCAATTTAATTGAAAAAAAAATCTATAGGTACTCGAAGTTCTCGAATCGTGTAAGACAGAAAATTAAACGTACTTTTTCTTTCAATTAGGATCTTCTTCAAACAGTTTTCAATTAAACAGCTGAAGAACTGAAGTAACACAAGAATTATATATCGCGACTACCATCATGTATCACTGTGCTAACAGCCTCGGCAAGCCTATTTTGTCTTCCTTTTCGTTTAACTCGCATTACAACATTCTGTGAAACTTGCAAATAACGTATTTTGATAATACTCATAAAAATCTTTTTTGGTAATAAGTAATATTTAGGTGCATTATTTTAGAATCGTCAAATTATTTAAACTTTATTTATATAAAAGAATATGATTTGTTAAATTTTTTATTGTCAGTCATCGGTGACTGTCGCGGCCCGAAGGGAAAGTACAATCTCAGTCTAGTGGACTCTAGCGAACTAAGAAAGATAGTGCTAAATTGATTTTGAATTTCCGGTATAAAGAACAACAATTTTTTTTTAATTGTATTGTACTCTGCTCTTGTGGAATAATCTACTATATTAGTAGAATATGCGTAGAATACGTGTAGAATACGATGCAATTAAAAAAAAACTGTTGACCTTTTGACTTTGAAATTCATAATCGAAGTCAATTTTGCGAAACCTTCCTTATTTAAATTTCTATCAGTAGTAGTGTGGCATATAATCTCGTTACACCTTGTATGTGGAAACAAGATCAGATGGAACAAAATTTGGCACGAATATTGTGCACTACGTATGTTTTCTGCACACGCAATCATAGTCATTCACGCATGATAGCATATACTTTATGTAATAAACTACACACGCTGTTATTGCTAATAAACGAAGTGTAATTTACATTGCAATTTCGTGATACTGTTAATGAAACATACGAACGACATTATTATGTAAAATGGTATATGTATGGTACACATGTACAGTAAAATTTTATTCAAGATAGAAATTTGTTAGCATTTTCCATATTAATATTTAATTATCTATTTATTTTCGTATTAATTTTACAATATACATTGTTACGGTGTATTACGATCATTATATTGGGGAAGTATGTAGATAATAATAAAATAATGACACATGCGCTGATAATATATTGATAAGAATTGTTAAAAAAAGAAATAGGAAAAGCCGTATTTCTCTATAAATTTCTCTAAAAAGTTATATTAAAAAATCATGTAAAAATTGGCCATATCGAAGTGATAGAAAATAAAAGAATTTTATCCAATCGCCTATATTAAACATGTTTAAAAGTTTCCTCTATATTTTAATGTTACTATAATATATGACAATGCGAAAGCTTACAGCGCCTGTTGTTTTTGGGATGATTGACATTTGAATAGACCAAAGGGTTACATTGGGCCTGTCGCATTGAAATTGGACACACAACAAAGCAAGAGAAATCGCGGTTAGTCAAAGAGTAGAGTATGTCTCGTACATTATTTGAAACAATTTATACGAGCTTCGTCAGCGAATATCGTTGTGCGGAACACGCGCTATTATAAAATATTGATGGAAATAAATCGGTTTTCAGCTGGTCCGACATCTATGCACAAAGCGATAGTATGCTGGTGCATTATTATGCTCTGATAGATTCAGATTTGAAAGGCGGAAACACCTCGGATCAGAACTTCTCGACAATAGTGACAGCGGGCGAATCGATACGCGAACAACACTCGATCCCGTGCAAAACGTAAAAACTAAAATCAGTTATCCGGGGGACGTTATTAGCCTGTTATTGCGTTATATGATTGTTTTGTTAATAAGTGGATCCTCTGCAATTAGACGCGCTTTTGCAATTGTAGTTGTTTGATTTAGTCATTTCCGTTTTAACGAGCTTGTTCATTATCAAAATCGTGCGGTATATGAGCTTTCGTTAACCAACTCGGATCGAGTTACTGTTCCAATAACATCGACCGATATGCGTGCAAGCTTGTCGAAATAATGTTTCTACCCCATTGAACGTATTTAATAATATCCTTTTCTTTTCTTCTCACTTTTTAAATAAGCGAAATTATTTTGTCGTTACACATGAAAGAAATTTTAATATTACATAAAATTTGTAGTGAAATGAATAAATGTATATTAAGAAGTCATAAATAAATTGTACATTTGATATTTATGATACTTGTAAACATTAAATATCTAGTGAAACAATGTTACTTATATCTGAGATATGTTCTACGTGATAATAAATATATGCTGACAGTAAAGACTTAATAGGTAAAGGCAACTGTAAGCACTTGAGGCTTGTAGTCCATTAATCACTTAACAGACCAATTTTTAGTGCATGTAAGCACATGCTGCCCGAGCGACGGTCGGGATAAATTGTTAAAGTGGTCGAAATAATTACTATATCAACATTATCTAATATTTATTGAGCCGACAATATACTTAATTTTGCAAAACATACTGTAAGGTCGTGTATTACATTTTCTTGAAAAATTTAAATAATCTTAAGTAATTGCAAAAATCTGAAGTAAGTTTTAGTTGTATTTATATTTCTTTCAATGCAAATTGCAGTTTGTTTGGTCTATAAAGAGATGAATATGAAATTATTTGTAAGTATAGCTGCCACTGACATCTGATCGACTGCTTTGCGTACTGTAATTTACTACTGAATTGTAAGAAAGTGAATTAACGTAAACAAGAGGGACGAGACGCGCGCGTTTCCTTCGCAAGTTCCACTTTCCTCGGCTATTCCTACAATATTGTTCTTCCTATATGTGAAGATATTGCATTACATTAAATTCCGTTCAGAGAAGATAACTGCATTTCTGTCCAACTATTTCTGCATATATTACAGAATAATATTCATATCTCGTGACATTAATCTCGCACGTATTCGGGAGAAGAATCTTATTTCGAACGACAGCACGATGTTCGTAGCATCCTTTTATCTTTTATCTAAAGGAATTCGATTTCATCTAGCCGAAAAATACAATAAATGGAATGCATGATTAACATGCAGTATCTCAATAATATTACATTTTCGTGAACTTTCTCGTCCGAACGTTTTTATTATTTATATGTTTGAGTTGTATGTGATCGTCTCGATGTCTACTAGTTTCTGGAAGAGCCGACAAGGAAAATTTATATTGTTCTACAAATATCCTTTGGAATCGACGTTGAAAATTGTTACTCTGCATAAAGATTTACAGTCTCTTAATATGGTTTTAGCTGAAGGCACTATTCAAGAAGGAACCGGAGATTTTGAAAGTCAAGGAAAAATTATTCTCTTTTAATTCAAATAAACATTTTGTAACTTAAATATGCATGACTATTAAGAAATTAGACATTTCATTCGACACGACCTAATACATTGACTTCTGGTTGTTCGTGTAAACGGGTTATAAAGAATGATTAATCTTCGCTCCCCGCTACCTAAGAGAGCCGAACACGAGAATCGCATCATCAAGTATGGAAATATCGAGGAGCGACAAGCTCGTGTAGAGAACTCGGCGCCACGCGGCACTGCATCGCAGCGACGCGACGCGAATTAGGGAAGATTACATTCACCGCAATTTTTTAAAGAACTACCGTTGCAAGGGCTTGGGCAGAAACTCACCGAGTTTATGTAGTTGATGAGAGACAGCCCGCCGTCCCAAGGGTGCTCGAGCTCGCAGGAGATGTTCGCGGGCCTTAACGCGTGTGACTGTTCCAGGGTCCTTAATCCCACAGCAAACACCTGCACGCTGTCGTACATCAAGGCCGGCTCCGCCTGAAACGGAAACGAGAAAAGAAACGAAAAGAACGTGTATGCTTTCTCTCCTTCTCTCTCTCTCTCTCTCTCTCTCTCTCTTTGTTTCGATACGGTGTCGGTCATCGCGGAGCGTCGAGACGCGTAAAATATTTGCGCAGGCTGCCTTTTTTTTGGAGAACCGTTCACGGAGGAACATAAATTATGCGATGAGTTCAAATCACTTTTTACTAATGACGCGGCCGGAACCACTCCAGAAATTATTAAATGTTCCAGGAAAAAGTTGCTTGAATAACCCGGAACGAAAACCGCGATTTAAAATCGCAGGAAAACGGATAATTGCTATTAGCAGTCGATTGCGAATTATTTAGATGGTTTAACTGGTGTACAATGGCAGCTGAGGGAGTTTTACCATGCATTGTTAAAACTTTTTCTCACTGGTTCTCATTAATTTATATTCACTTGAGGAAAATCACATTCGGGCATTTTCTTATAAATTTGCTGCTCTTGTTCACCTAATCGTTCATCTTTATTGGGGATGGCAACTTGGAAAGGGATCAGGAAAGATGAGGTGCTGCTGCGTCTAGTACGCGATCGTAATTGCCGTGGATTACAATTGCCGTACAAACTATTCAACAATTTCATTAAAAATACAGCAATTTCTCTCGGAAATACCAAATTTCAGGTTGCTGTGAATTTCCCTGTGACTACGCCTATCTAATTTATTGCTACATCGATGCTAAGGTTCAACGGAGGTCTGCTAAGGTTACAACATAAAATGGTCTGTTTGGATGTGAGTCGAGTAAAAAAAACCGCGAAGCTACAAGGTACCTAACTAATCTCCGTTAAATCGTGTCATGTGTCCTCCGAATTGCCTTCGAATCGTGTCATGTGGCCTCCGAATTGCCTTCGAATCGTGGCAAAAAATTAGAAATAAAAAAGTTAAGCCATCATTTTTATTCTAACATTACTATGTATTCATATTAATGTTCACTGGCAAGCTGGCCGCTGTCTGTTTTGCTGATTGTGAATCGTGTCTCTGAGTGTCTGACGGGCATTCTAGGGAGAATTTACTGTATATGTGCCTATTTTTATAAGAACTACATCTTCCAAAAGATTGATTAATTTACCCTTGCAAAACGTTTTCTTCGATAGCAACATCAATTAGCGGTTACTTGAGAAAGAAAGTTCATATTTATTATAGGTCTATATTAATTTGATATTATTAAAACAAAATATATGTATAAATAATATATGTATATATATATATATATATATATATATATATATATATATATATATATATATATATATATATACTATCATAACAGAAATTGTGGCAAACACATTTGTGTTGTATTGTAATTATATTGTTACGATTTTCTCTACATAAATGTTGTATTTGTTTTTATGAAATCCATGTATAAGCTTTGTTTAATTAATCGCAGAATTGTGCCAAACATTTTTTCATTGGCATGAAGAAAATTCTAAACAGATCAGCAAAAGACAGATTGGCTTTACATGGAAATTTCGGACTTTTCGGAAATATCCGAAATTTCGGATTTTGTAGATTGTGCTCCAAATTGGAGATTAGTGTCCACCGTTGTGTCGCATCGGCGTGCTTATCTGTTAGTGGACTACGTTTTGTGTGTTTGCCACTTCAGAGATTATTACAAAAGAACATAGAAACGATAAGGGTACGCTGATATGTGCCTCAACACAATTTGTGTATTCGCGATCGCATTACACGAAACTCGTACACGTATCGCGTACCGAGGCAAGAGGAGACCGTCCAATTAGTGGAAATATTTTCGTGTACTGAATGGAAACACGGCTAACCCAGAGATCAGCATTTAATCAGACAACTATACATGTCGTGTTTTCGTTTCTTATTTCTTCACGCTTTGTAATTATATGATTTCAAATGTTAATAGTATTGTTAACGGGGTCGCACAACAATGAGGTTAATATTGAATAATGACTAATGAATCATTAATTTGACGTAGCCAAATTGCAACGTGCAACACCATTATGTTTTATGTCATTTTAATTAAATACGAATTAAATATTTTAATAACTACCGGCAATTAGAAACGTATTCGTCAATTTGAAACGTTTCAGGATAATTTTAGAAAAAATTTCATGCAGTTAATATTTACTAGTTGATTTAATTATAATGTTAGAACATTATTTCTCGCACTCGTGGGAAAAGATTCTTATTTCAAAGCTGTGGAGCATTGCGTGAGTGTGCAACCGACCAGATTTTATCCCCTCTATTCGTCACCTGCCTCAGGAGATTTCTTCCTGTCTCTGCACACTATACTTCCTATACGATGACGAAATATTCTGTAATAAACAGAGCTGATCAATGAATTTTCAAATGTAACAGTATTTTAATTTTATTCCTAATTAGAGCAACACTTTCCATTACATAAAATCAATACATGATTTACAAATTCCTTTTCAGTATATTCTCAGAAAGGAAAACAAGTGTACATCCTGTAATTTTAAATGAAATGCTTATAAAGAGCTGATTAGGTGTGTGCAGAAGTTTTAGATTTTTGCGCAATTGTTTAATATAAGAGAGTTTCTCGAAATGATGAAAAATATTTTCCATGTTAAATTATAATTCATAATACATAGGTCATGTATAAATAAAGAGAAATCAGAAAAAAGACCTAATACAGGAGAAATAAAATTCATGATCGTATCTTATCTCCTGTAATTTATAGTAGGAATCCCACCTGTCGTCCCAAAATGGCGTTTTTAGAAAAACGATTTTCACATCGTGTATCATCTTCGTGTAGTCGTATCCCCACCCTGGAACCCGTCCGTCATTTTTGGACGAAAGATAAAGTAGAGATAGTGAAGAAAAATAAATTTGCTATTGATTACAGACCGCGGATTTTATACATTTGTAACAAAAATCAGAAGGTGCCATGTAAAGTAGATAAATTAATAGTGTTTAAGTGCCTATGTATTAGTTTCAGCTTATTAAAATCATTAACAGAATAATGATGTTTTTACTATTGGAAAACTAAAGGAAGGAACTCTAACCACAAGCTAAACGATGCATGGAGCAGAGGAAATCGGCCGGTTGCTCCGTCAAACAAAACAACGCGAGGGGCAAGGGAAAGCGATCGCCCTCTTCATCTAATCACGTCTTCTGTTTATCGTGTAACTTAGCCAATAATGACTCAGAATTTGTAAAGTGAGAGAGGGTTCAGGTGGAGCGATTGGTTGATTCCTCTCGCCTCTTGCATCGTTTAGCTTGTGGGTACAGTTCCTTCTTTTAGTTTCCCAGTAGTACATGGCGTCTGTTTGTTGCAATTAACATAAACAATTTTTCTATGCAGAAAAATTCGCAATCTAACCGTAAATAATCGAAATACCTGGTTAATTAAAAAATCGAAGGATATACGAGTTGAATTAATTTCTGTCGTGAACAACAAAACCACCGGCATCGGAATTTCCCCATACGCGACGTGTTCCCTTCCTTATTTGCTTCTTCGACCTCCATTTTGCATGCAGACGTTCCCGGGGCGCATGTTTGTCGTGGGCAAACACATACAAGAAATATCGAGGCTGCCTCCTCCTCGTTTCTACCTTCACTTCTACGTTCACCACCGTTCTCAAACCTCAGGGACGTCCCGGAGCGTTGCACCGGAAGCCAGGATGTGCTGCCGCCGAATTTCTTAATCGACTTCGGGAGACGTTCGACCAAGCCGCGGAAGTTTTCTGGGAGAGCGTGTCTCATTATCGCCCCGGCGCGGCGCGCCCTAGGAGCTCCACGGTAATTAGCCTCGTCAACCGTATTATGAAGTCGAGCTATTCCACGAACAGCGACGGCATCGCGAGAGCTGTTTCTCCCGTGAATTTCGCGGCAAATGCGATCAGACGTTTTAAAACGCGGCGACGAAAGGGCGGAGGCGCGTAAATGCATCGGTAATAGGGAAGCTCTTGATCGAAATTAGTGGCGTGTCCATTTACGAGACCGTAAGAGAATCCCTTGTGGTTCGTAGTAAAAGGGATTGGTAGCGTTAAACCTTCAGGGATGATGTCTGTGTACGCTGTATTAACTCTGATGATCATAGACTGCGGATTTTGTGCACTCATGACGAAAATGAACAGATTAAATAAAAAACTGTGAAGTCGCGTCACAGACAAAGAGACATTGCCACATCATTTTCGACTTATTCAAATTATTAAATAACAAAATATGAAAACGTTTATTTTGCATGAAAATCCGCAGTCCACTGATGAATGTTACTTATATTATACGTAGATAGATTATAAAGTACTATTAACGGTAGCTAACGAAGATTAGACGTCGTCCTCGAGGGGTTAATGGATACGGCAGAGAGTTCGTTCCGTCTCGCGTTACAAGATAATACTCCTACTTTTAACACTTCATTTTCATTACTTGACTAATTTATTAAATGCAACGTGCCTCTATTTCGAAATATTAAAACAATTGTACAAAAACAAGTTGACGATTTGCTGGATGTTATACTACATATGACGACTTTAAAAATACCGACTGTAATCAAATTAAGTTATCTATTCATTCGTAAATTACGAGATCGTGAACGTCACATATGTTCGGCATTGGTCATGAACGTTTTTATTAAAAATTGTTTTAATATTTTTGGTAGCTTATATCGCTGTATGTAAAATGTAGAACAAATTGGAGCAAGTATCATTTCCTACCCCCCTTCTCGTTTACCAATTTAAAACGTTTATTAAAACGGAACACACTTTATTGCTCGATCCAATAAAATATGTCATTTTATCGATTATTGCGAACGCGAATTCAATTCGAGAATATTTTTCTGTCTGTGATAATCCACTGGTAATATTTCATTGCTGTCAGCTGAAAAAAGCTTCAGCTTCGTATCATTCGTCATTTCCATTAAAATATTCAGTAGATTTATCCGTTTGAACGCGCTCAATCTCTGATGGAATAAAACGCGTTTTGCCCACTTATATCGTCATTATATTCCCGTTGCTTTATGCACGAT